CTATCTTGAATTTATCTTCGCATCTTCTCTAAATTGTCTTTTAGCCACTATCTCATGCAGTTGCCTCACAGGTGGCTCGAAAGGGATTCTATAACTTCTTTCAATAAACTGCTCTTCTTTGTCCGGCACTGAATAGCAGCAGTTAGCTGAATGTACTTTCCAGCATCTATCGTCCCAAAGAAGTTTCCGAACGAGCAGCTGCGTCCCATCACATGTAGCTCTATCAGACTGTGCTAGAAGAAAAAACTTTAGAACCTCTTTCTAGGTGCAATCTTTAGTTCCCTCTGACAAAACTCCACCAATTACAGAAGTAATACAGACAGCCCATGGCCATTCGTTTTCACGTGTTCGCAATGTTCGTCCAGTATCCATCCAGTTCATTCATATCGCCTAACTCGTCCATATACTTCGCTCTACTGTTATTGTTGTTATTGCTACTATTATCATAAAAGTTGTAATCCAGCGTCCGACTCAGCGACTTACACATAAAAGACTTCCGTGGCAGCTACAAGGACTAATATTCACAACGACTTGGTATTCATATAAAGTTGGGGGCTCAACGCCGCAACAAGAATCCAGTTTTTTCGTTATAAATCCGTAGTACTGGGTAAGATATGACTAGGAGATAAAAGAAGACCTGGCCAAAAACCAGAAGCTGCTCGTTGAAAGACAAAACTTATGCAGAACTCGTTTCAGTTCCACAAACAAAGAAGATCACAAGGCCGCTCTATTATCACCAAGGAATTGCTCGAAAACAGAAAGAAAACGAAGCTTGATCCTACTGAAACACACCTACCACGGTTGATAATAGATGCTAGCTGTAGAAGACCTTTGAAAGAGGATTTAAGTAGCAAACGTTATTGGAAGCAGCTCTGTAGCAGTTACTAGCAGGAAATAGGTCTTCGAGCCAGTACTCGGCACCGAATAATCACTAGCTCAAAGTGGAATGCCCGACTTTGTATGGATTTACCACGCAGGATCTTTTCGACGTTGCCACAGAGCAAAATTTCATAATTGGGTGATTAAACTGCTCATGGCAATAACAATGCAAGAATAACAATGTGCTGACACTGAAACAATGCAAGCAACAATGTGGTAACAGGTGCAATAAGTGAGGACAAGACTGGTTCGTAAGGGAGTACTTTAAGGTGAGGTAGCTTTGCCATAAGCTGGTGGGGCAATGCGATGTACGTTTGTATTGTAGAATGCATAAATAGTGCTACAAGAGATAAGCACACCAGAGGACTCATCTGAGGCCGTAATAACACCTAAAGTGCGTTAGAGTTACACACTATATCTGAGCTTGTGACAACGTCACGATAAGGTTATTGTATTAAGGAGCAAATGTAAGCTTGTGGAAGTATTAACGTATGATAACTGCACATTGGAATTGGTGTGTTGGAAGGTGCATGAAAGTATAATGAGCTTAACATACAATAGTGATCACATGCAGCGAGGGTTAAAAACTTAGATCATCTGTATGGAGCAAAGCACAAGATAGTCGTGAAGACCCAAGAGCGTTAACAAGACGAATAGGATAGTGACTTACAAGCTCGTTTAAATGTCTTCCTAAGAAGGCAGTGTTTTGGCGTAGGTTCTGAATGTCCCCGAAAACATTCGCCGACTATCGCTTCTTCATAAGCGTGAACACGTCAGATAAAGGAAGATGGCTCTTCCAAACAACTTTTTGCCATTCATGTTACGGTATGCGTGAAGGCTTTGAAGGGAATAAAACACAAAGCTTCACAAAGAGGTTAGCAAGGCAAAGACTGATTGTTGCAAACAAAGTCCCTCTAAATCAGATGGAAATACTTGTACAATGCAAGACTGCTATGTGATATAAAGCACCGCGAATGTAGTCACTACTAAACGTAATCCACGGATCTCCTTCGTATGAAGGATCCAGATAGCCGGTTAGTCGCGAGGCTACGTGGCGCGTACCCAGGTGGCACATTGGTGATTAATCGCGGACCAAAAGCGACGTTTGCTTCCCTGAGACCCAGGTGGATCCAGGGGATGGACTCCCTGTTTCTGCCGCGCCGATTTGTCACATACTTTCTCTATTTGCGAGACGTATTCACGCATGCGTGTGTGGGCGTGTCCTCGCTTGTGCGGAATATATTCTACGAGATAATGTGGCCAAAAGCCTGCAATCAAGTAGCAGGCAGGTATATGGGAGGCGGTTAGGAGTCGCCTCCAACAAATAAGCTCCATGTCCACTCAGGGAAAGCCTGGCAAACTACCCGTGAGTATACCCAGCCCCACGTTCAGAGTCCAGCGAGCTATACGTGTGTATCAAAATGCTAAAAACAGTAAGAAAAACCGACCTCATTCAACTGACCTTGACCCCGAAACAGCCCGCAATTTCGCAGCGTTGGGTAGGACGAGTACGGCGATGGTGCTGAAATCTCAGGGCCAATGGAAGCTGCCTGGAAGAACTATGGTGACGATTTGTGTCTACAATGAACGTTCAGTTGCATCCGAGTCCTCGATAGAAGACTTGCTCTTGCACGCATGAAGGATAAAATATGATGACATCGGCCTGGCAGAGACGAGACAACGTCACCTATTCAATGCCGTCTATGACACAGGAGAAAAACTACACAGATCAACAACGATCTGTACCTACAATTCACGCACATTTGCATCCGAGTCCTCGATAGAACACTTGCTCATGCAAGCAAGAAGGGTGAGGTACGACGTTATCAGCCTAGCCAAGACAAGACGACACCACCCATTCAACGCTTTTTATGATACCAAAGAAGAACTTTTCCTCGGAAAATGCCACAGTAGAGGAGTAGGCGGTGTCGGCGTTAGCGTTCTCGTCAACACGAGTTTGTCCACGAACATCTACTCATTTGAACAGCTTATAATCTGAATCGCATGTTTACGATTAAAAAGATGTCGATCAATTCCGGATTTGACGATTTTCGTCGTTTACGCCCCGACATCAAACTATGACGAAGAAGAAGTCGAAGCGTTCTATATGGACATGGAAAAGTTCTGCAGAGAGCACAATACATTCTTCAAGGTCGTCATTGGAGATTTCAACGCCAAGATTGGACCAAGAAGACCGTCTGAAGAACGTCACATTGAGACCCATGGATTACAATGGGACGAACAGGGTGAGCGGCTGTATGAGCTTATCATGACGACCAAGACCATCCATGGTAACTCGCAATTCCAGAAGCCCCACCCTCAGCGCTGGACGTGGAAGTGTCCCAATTGATAGCACCATAACGAAATAGACTACATCATAGTAAATGGAAAGTTTTGCCTAACCGATGTCGCTGTTGTTGCAAAATTCTACACTGGCTCAGACCATCTCCTCCTTCGTGTAAGATTTTATTTCTGGCGGAAAGGAGAAGAAGCCGCTAAATTCAAAAAACGAAGTCCCAGAACCGCCATAAACTGGCACTCGCTAGTCGGCTGTTGGGAAGAGAAGATGCCGTTATCGATAACATCAACGAAGAATACGATCGGCTCATTCAACATTTTCACGTCAGCGCCATGAAAGCTGAGAGTTCGAAAGTCACCAAGAGACTTCTCTCTCAAAAAACACTCGAGCTATACGCCAGCGTGGAATCGCACGAGCTGCAGACAACCGCGAACTAACGTTCGAACTTGCAAAGCACTGCGGGCAGGCGGTAAAGAAAGATCTTAAAGAGAGAAGAGCAGCAGTAATGGTGGAAGCTGCAGAGGCTGGGAAAAGCATTCGAAAAGCACACCGAACCTTCGCCAATTACAAGACGGAGGTGATTGCACTCCGGCGCCCAGATGGAACAGTTACTGCGTCCAGAAAGGCAATGGAGAGAATCATTCACGAATACTGCTCGGATCTCTTCGATAGCCACGTTCATCTTCCGTCATATGAAATAAAGGAGGATGGATATGTTGTACCACCGGTTCTCCCTTCCGAAATCTCACATGCCATTCCTTCGGTGAACAATCGAATAGCACCAGGTCCGGAAAGGGTAGGATCCAAACACCTGAAGGACCTTCCACCAGTCCTTGTAAACACATCGACTCGGTTTTTCGCACGTTACCTGTCTGAATGCAAGTTCACCACTCAGTGGAAGACCAGCAAGACCATGTTATTGTTAAAGAAGGGTGACCTACACGATAGAGATAATTATCGCCCAATCTGCTTACTTTCTTTCGTCTACAAGCTTCTTACTCGAGTTATCCTAAACAGGATTGACAGAACACTAGACGAAGGACATCCATGTGAGCAAGCANAAGAGAGAAGAGCAGCAGTAATGGTGGAAGCTGCAGAGGCTGGGAAAAGCATTCGAAAAGCACACCGAACCTTCGCCAATTACAAGACGGAGGTGATTGCACTCCGGCGCCCAGATGGAACGGTTACTGCGTCCAGAAAGGCAATGGAGAGAATCATTCGCGAATACTACTCGGATCTCTTCGATAGCCACGTTCATCTTCCGTCATATGAAATAAAGGAGGATGGATATGTTGTACCACCGGTTCTCCCTTCCGAAATCTGACATGCCATTTCGTCGGTGAACAATCGAATAGCACCAGGTCCGGAAAGGGTAGGATCCAAACACCTGAAGGACCTTCCACCAGTCCTTGTAAACACATCGACTCGGCTTTTCACACGTTACCTGTCTGAATGCAAGTTCACCACTCAGTGGAAGACCAGCAAGACCGTGTTATTATTAAAGAAGGGGGACCTACGCGATAGAGGTAATTATCGCCCAATCTGCTTACTTTCTTTCGTCTACAAGCTTCTTACTCGAGTTATCCTAAACAGGATTGACAGAACACTAGACGAAGGACATCCATGTGAGCAAGCACGGTTTCGAAAAGGATTTGGTTCGATGGACCACGTCAACACGGTAACAAGACTCATTGAAGTATCGAGGAGTGCAAGAGACCACTCTGTCTCATTTTCATCGATTTACAGAAGGCCGTTGATTCAATTGGTATAGAAACAGTTATTGGAAGCCCTTGATAGTCAATGAGTCCCTACTCAGTACATAATGATTCTTCGTGAGCTGTACAAAAGTTTCACAACCAAGATTTCACCATTCTACAACGATATGAAAATTGGCGTCAAAAGAGGAGTTAGGCAAGGCAATACCATCTCGCCAAAATTATTTTCCGTCGCACTCCAGAACGTCATGCGAACATTGGAATGGGATAACGTGGGAGTGAAAATCGATGGTGGGCAGTTACACCATTTTGGCTTTGCTGATGACATCGTCCGTATAACACCAAACATTAGCCAAGCGGAACGTATGCTTGACGACTTTGATAAAGCCTGTTGAAAAATTGGTCTTCGACTAAATCTCACAAAAGCGACGTTTATGAGGAACGGATTGATTTGGCATGTCCCATTCACGCTCAACGGAACGAATATCTCTAAATGCTCCAGTTATGTCTATCTAGGTCGAGAAATCACTATGATGGACGATTTAGCTTCACAACTGAGCAGAACGAAACGAGCGGCCTGTGGAGCTTTCAAGAGCATCGAAGATGTAGTGAAG